GTTAGGGGGGGTTCTTGTTTTATGGAATATGACACTTGAATCAAAAAAAAAAAAAAGTAGAGAGAGAGAGAGAGAGAGAGAGAGAGAGAGGACGAGTAAAGAGTTATTCATAAAGAGAGGCTTTATTCACCCAAAAGTAGCAACGAACGACTACATGGGCCTGAAGGATCAAAGCTTTATTCATAAAGCCGAATTTTAGAAAATTTATTTTGGCAATGTGGCACCAAACTTTGTTTTGTGTTGCAATCTATCACACCAGTGGGTCCCATCCGGTTTTTTCCCGCGTTTTTATATTTGTTTATGTCCTCTTGATTCTTGAAGGAGTCTTGTCGACCTGCTCTTGCAAGTTCACCTTTAGTAATCTTCTTTTTCTTCTACTCATGAATTTATGAGGAAAAAATGCAATCGAGAGATTTCTGGAATATTCTAGACTTCTGATACATGGATCAGATCGAGGGCTTTTACCCTTTTGGGCTCTTGCTTGATCATGGATCAAAGCTTAATACATAAATTATTATTTGGGATGTTAAGAATTTATTTATGGCATGTTTACTAATTCATAATTGGATTATGATGAATTGAATTGAGGAGGAGTTGGATTGATGAGAATTAGATTTCGGGTTCCTAATGAAGTTGTTTACTAAACCACATGAATTGAGAGGAGTTAGATTCCAGATTCCTATTGAAATTGTTTACTAAATCTTATGGAATTCGAGTATGAGTGGTTCTAATTACTAAAATGTCCTCATTGTTGGATTAAAGTATATGACATATTTGGAATTTTGAAAATTGTGTGAGGATATAATGAGTAAAAAAGATGAATTCCTAATAGGTTAATTCTCTAGGAATTAGAATACCACCTCCCACCCAAGAATTGAATTCCTTCAAAATCAGGAATTCAATTCCTAATTTTGTGTAGGCCCCACTTACTTTTCAATTCCTTGATGTGAAGTAAAAGCATGAATTCTCCATAAGTGGAATTCAATTCCTGATGAGAATTCCAATTCCTGATTAGTAAACACACCATTAAATTATAAAATGTGTTCAGTATTTTAGTTTAGTTTTAAGCGTAGTTCAAAATATTTATTTGTCTTTTTCTACTTAAAATGAGTTTCGGGTTTTTGATGAACAATTTTTGGAGTTCTAAATCTATTTTTCAAAATTTAATGCTCATTTGATAAGAGTAATAAGCCTTCAAAGTTTTGATCTTGAAAATCTA